TGGGGGGGGGGGGGGGGGGGGGGGGGGTGCTGCTGGCTGGTAAAGGGATCCAAAGATTTTTTTTTTCCAGGCAGAGTGATCCACAACTGTACAGCTATGGGAGAAAAGGATAGGGAATTTCACCTCAAATTCTTATTACTCTGAAGTATTACTTTAATTTTTTCAGTTTCCCAAAAAGGCTTACTTTATTTAGCTCAAAAATAGCTCCATATAGGAAAACTTGGTTCATGGCCTCAACTATCAAAACCTGGTAAGCTTCTGGGATGTTTACTACAATCTCCTCCCAAACCCCAACAGGGTGCCCCAAGCCTAGCTCCCATCTCCACTCCAGGGCAGCAGCTCACACCTAGTAACCCTTAACCTGGATATCATTTTAAGTTTGATAATTTAGGTTCTGAGAGCACATAAAATTTAGAAGTAAAAATAAAGAAAAAGGGAGAGGGACAGGTATCAAAGAAATATACAGGAACAAGAAAAAGGAATAGTTTGTTACAAAGAAATAGATCACAGAAACCTAAAATTTCAATCACAGCAATTATGAGCATGTTGATAAACAATTGTTATATATCCAAACCACCCAAGAATACCACTGACTTACAGCACTGATGGGGACATGTAAAAGGAAACAGGGATCAGCTTGAGAATCTCACTTGGCAATTGTGGTACAATAGGAGCATAATAATGAATAATAATGAGTGGATTGTCTGTACTGAATAAAAAAAGGACCCCTAAGATCATACTGAAATTAATACTGTAAACACATTCACACACTCTCTTAAAAAGTTGTCTTCACGGGAGAATTCCATCTAATACATGTAGAAGAAAAGACAAAAATATAAAATCTTCATTTTATAATCATCATAGTAATAACTGATTCAGGCAAGAATCTATGGATGCTAAAACTATTGGGTAAAAAAAATTAGGTCATTCACAATAGCCAAAATAGTGGAAACAGACCAAATATCCATCAGTGGATGAATGGATAAACAAATTGTGGTATATACACAATGGAATATTATTCTTCCCTAAAAAGGAATGATGTAATGACACATGCCATAACGTGATGAACCTTGAAAACATGATGCTAAGTGAAAGAAGCCAGATTCAAAGGTCACATATTGTATTATTCCATTTATATGAAATATTCAACATAGGTAAATCCACTGAGACTGAACCGAGATTGGAGGTGCCAGGGGCTAGGGAGAGCGGGGAATGGGAAGCAGATGAAAATGTTTTGAAACTTGAGAGGAGTGGTGACTGGACAGCATTGTGAACACACTAAATGGTGCTGAACTTTAAAATGGCTAATTTTATGTTATGTAAATATCACCTCAATGAAAAATATATATTAAATTATATATGTATGTATGTATTTTGGGGCACTGGATATTCACAATTTCAAAGTGTGACCCCAGAGACTACTTTTGTTAATTAAAAGGGAAAAGATTACCTTTACAACAGAGAAGTCTGGCCAGGACCATCTTAACCAGTGGAACAACCCAATCTATGGGCTCTGGCAAGGTGCCGAGGAAGACACAGCAATACCTGTGGAGTGCTCACCTTGACTCTGCTCATGAGCAGCACTCAGACAAATCCAAATGGAAGGACTTTTCTGCACAACGACTGGCCTGAGCTCTTCAAAAATATCAATGTAATAAAAGACAAAACTAGGGGCCGGGCCGAGCCCATGGCGCACTTGGGAGAGTGTGGCACTGACTGAGCACGGTGCGGCCGGTCTCAAAAAGGACAAAAAAAAAAAAAAGACAAAACTAGGCTAGGGAATTCTAGATGAGCAGAATCTAAGGGACATAAAAATAAATGCCATACATGATCCTGGATTGAACCCTATATCCAAATTATTTTTAAAGTTATAAAGGACATTGGGCCGGCCCAGTGGCGCACTCGGTAGAGTGCGGCACTTGGGAGCACGGCGGCGCTCCCGCCGAGGGTTCGGATCCCATATAGAGACCGGTCCGCTCACTGGTTGAGCACAGTGCAGGCGCGACACTGAGGGTTGCGATCCCGTTGCCGGTCACGAAAAAAGACAAAAAGGAAAAAGAAAAAGTCATAAAGGACATTACTGGGACAGTTGGTATTTAAATATGGACTATATAAGATAATACTGTTCTATGAGAATTAAACTTTGAGTGTGATCATTGTGTTTGTAGAAGAATGTCCTAGTTCTTAAGAGATGCTCTTTGGGGTAAACTATCATGATGTCCACAACCAACTCTCAGATGATTCAGGAAGAAAAGGTATATATAGACATAAAAGAAATTGGCAAAAGTCTAGCAATTGATGAATCTAGGTAAATGTACAGTATGCGATACTCATTTTAGTATTCTTGCTATTTGTTGTAGGTTTCTTATTTTCAAAAATAAACTAAGGGAAAACAACTTGTAAACTGAACGTATGCCCCATAGCCCAACAGTTCCACTCCTAAGTTTATACACAACATGTAAAAGAATGTAAATAGCAATATATTTTTTTCTTTTTGTCTTTTTCCGTGTCCGGCAATGGATCGCAACCCTCAGTGTCACGCCCGTACCGGACCGGGACCGGCAACGGGATCGCAACCCTCGGTGTTGCTCCCACACCTCACTCAGCCAGTGAGCGGGAACCAGTCTGTATGTGGGATCCGAACCCTCGGCGGGAGCACCACCGCGCTCCCAAGCGGCGCACTGTAGCAGTGCGCCACCGGGCCAGCCCGTAAATAGCAATATTATTTGTAATACTTCAACACTAGAAATAAAAATGTTCATCAGTAGTGAAAAGAATTGTAGTATAGTTATTCATTATAACAGTACACAATAATGAAAAGGAGCCTATAGTAAACTCAGCAGCATGGATGAATCTCACAGACATAGCACTGAATAAAAGCTAGACACAAGTACATACTATACAGACCCATTATACAAAGTACAAAACCATGCAAAGCTAATTGATGCTTATACAAGTCTGGATATGGATAAGGTACAGACTGGGAAAGGGCACGAAGGAGATTTTGTAGTGCTGGGTGCCTCCTGTCTCCTCCGTATGTCAGTGACATGAGTGTGTTTGCTTTATGAAAAGTCATCAAGGTGTATACTTTCTTTAAGAGGAGGGATAAGAAGCCATAATACAAAATGAACAACGCACAGAGGTCATCTATATGGGTATACTAAAAGATATAAATGAAATACTATGAAAATTAAAAGAACAGCTATATCTGATTAAGGAGGATTGGGGGAAGTCAGAAGAGTCTATATAATAGGTGGAATTTGAGCAGAGAACTCAAATGAGAAGAAAGATACTGTATTCATTTAGGAATTACAGAGGAACTGCTGCAGATGCATTTAACATTTGTTAGGCACTTTATCTTCAATCTATGTTGTAAATGTTACAAAGCCAGAGATTCCTGCTTTTTTGAAAGATGTGATAAAACATAAAATACACAAAACATAAAATTTATCTTAACTATTTTTAAGTGTACAGTTCAGTAATGTTAAATACGTTCACATTGTTGTGCAACCAATCATCAGAATTCTTCATCTTGTAAAATTTAAACTGTATATACCTATTGAACACTCCCCAATTTCCTCTTCCCTCAACCCCTAGTAGTGACTACAATTTTACTTTCTGTTTCTATGAATTTAACTACTCTAGGTACCTCATCTTAGTGAAATTGTACATTTGTCTTTTTGTAACTGGCTTATTTCACTTAGCGTAATGTCTTCAAGGTTCATCCATGTTGTAGCATGTGTCAGAATTTCCTTCCTTTTTAAGGATGTACCACATTTAGTTTACCCTTTCATTTGTCAATAGACATACTTGGGTTGCTTCCACCTCTTGGCTGTTGTGAATAATGCTGCTATGAACATGGGTGTACAAATATCTCAAGACCATACTTTCAGTTCTTTGGGGTATATACCCAGAAGTGGAATTGCTGGATCAGATGGTAATCCTGTTTTTTATTTGGGGGGCAACCGCCATACTGTTTTCCACAGCAGCACCATTATACATTCCTAGTAGAGCATAAGAGTTCTGTTTTCTTCATATCCTGGCCATCACTTGTTATTTTCTGGGGGTTTTTTTGTTTGTTGTTGTTTTTTTTAAAGATGACCGGTAAGGGGATCTTAACCCTTGACTTGATGTTGTCAGCTCCACGCTCTCCCAAGTGAGCTAACCAGCCATCGCTATATAGGGACCCAAACCCGTGGCCTTGGTGCTATCAGCACCACATTCTCCCAAGTGAGCCACGAGCCGGCCCTTATTTTCTGTTTTTTTGATAGTAGCCATCCTAATGGGTGTGAGGTGGCATCTCATTGTGGTTTTGATTGGCATTTCCCTATTGATAAGTAATGAGAAAGAAGTTCTGCTTTGGGGATTCTGTTTGTGTGTGTTTCTGCCTAGTTCTGACATAGACTATTCTGTAAAGTTGCCTAAGAGATATATTAGAATGTTCAAGAAAACATGTTGATGTACTTAAGGACCAGAAGTATACTCATCTTTCAAACAGAAGAGTGACTTTTTGTTTTTTGCTCTGCAGGGTAGGATATCTAGCAGGATGTCTAGTTCGCTCACTGTGTGAAAAACAACCAGAGTTGCAGATAACTGAACGAGATATGCTCTGTGTTCAGATTGCTGGGCTTTGTCATGATCTCGGTAAGCTGTACAAAGACCCAAAGTTGTTATATAAGATCATACCATATGTTACCTCCTTGAAATTTAAAAATCAGGGCTGGCCCCGTGGCTAACTTGGGAGAGTGTGGTGCTGGTACAGCTGAGGCCGCGGGTTTGGATCCTATATAGGGATGGCCGGTGCCCTCACTGGCTGAACATGGTACAGACCACACCGTGCCAAGGGTTGCGATCCCCTTACCAGTCAAAAAAAAAAAAAGAAATTTAAAAATCAGATCAAGAGAAATATGGAAGTTGTGTTTTAATTCTTCGCTTGACATTAATATAAATATACCATTGCTTCTTCCTAGAATGATTCATAAGCCTAAAGCATTATTATTTCATTTTCTGGTAGTCTTTCAGTGAATTTCCCATGTTAAACATCTTTGCTCCAAGTTATATGAAAGGGCTTTCTGATGGTGAGATTTCCTTACTACTCTGTTTAGGGTGATGTGAATTTGATTTTTCTTTTATCTTTCTTGTGAATAAAATAGCCATTTTTCCTTCAGTTACTTTGTCAAATTCATTTTTCTTGTACCTAGAATACCTAACCTGCCCTAGTATATTAAAAGATTTAGAGAACTTCTTTTCTTCCCTGGCCCATGTAAGGTCTTGGGCCACTTAAATCCAAGTAGAAGAATATCATTCTTTTCCTTTGACAAAAAAAAGAGAAAAGGGACTGTCCCTGGCCTCTTTAATCAGCAGAGTTTTTACCAGGATCCTTGTAGTTTATTCTTAAATATTCAAGGACCCTGAGAGTCTGTGTATTGCCCTCAGGGCAACCAGATACTTACAGGGGATGCGGGTGCTCACTTTATCTCCCCCTGGAGATTTCAGTAGGACCAACATCACCCCTTAGATTATAAATTTAACAGATTCTTGGTATTTTGAGAGACAATCATTGGAAAGCCTTTGCCAGTCCCCCGGAGACTGAGCACTGCAGTAATAAGCCTTTACATACAGACTGACATGGGAGTAAGGCCCAGGGCTTGTCCAAGTGGGTTCCCTCTCCACTACAGAAATTCTGACATCAGAGTTGGCTCAACAAACTTTCAAATTATTAAATGTAGTAGAACTTTAAAAAAAAAAAAAGACTGGTAAGGGGATCTTAACCATTGACCTGGTGTTGTTAGCACCATGCTCTCCCAAGTAAGCCAACCGGACATCCCTATATAGGGATCCGAACCCGTGGCCTTGGTGTTATCAGCACCACACTCTCCCGAGTGAGCCACGGGCCGGCCCTTAAATGTTGTAGAACTTGAAAATCACTTATGAATAAGAAACTAGTGATGTCCACTTTTGATTGTCCACGTCACCAGCAAAAATGCCAAGATACAGCCCTAATATGTGTATATTTGTTATAAACTATACTATGTACATTATCAAATTTACATAAAGGTAGATGCTTTTAAGGTTGAGAGTAATAAAATAAAGTTCTAAGATTTTCTTCTTATACCCCAGTGGATTGTTTTAAACTGCTATTTCTTTTTTTTTAGAAGCACACTGCAATAGTTAATTTTATTTGATTAAGGGCTCCTATTGCAAGCATTAAACCAAGCATGGGTTTTAATTCTGTGAGCCCGAATTCACATATTAGCAAAAATAAAAGCAAACTGTGATCCATGTACGAAAACTAAAGGCTCACAGTTAATCACATTGTAGTTTTTAAATTTCTACCAGCCTAGAACTCAGTAGTCACAGGTCTTTCAGGTCCTTCTGAATGTCCCCCAGGGTATCTGCACTTCTCTTGAGCTGAGCAACATCACCATCCTTCAGCTTCTGGTTGATAACACTGGTTAATCCCTGAGCATTGAGTATACATGGAAGGCTCAGGAAGACTTCATTCTCAATGCCATACATCCCCTTCACCACTGTTGACTTGATGAATCCTGGATAGATTTTTCAACAAGGATTCAATGAGATTAGCCACACTTAATCCAGTGGCCCAGTTGGTGTATCCTTTTAGCTTAATGACTTCATAGGCACTTTCAGCCACCATTTTATGTACTTCCTTCCAGTTTTCACTGTCATTGTCCATTCCCATTTCTGGATTCAGTTCCTGGAGAGAAGCACCTGCAACGTTCACTGCACTCTATACAGCCACACTGGAGTCGCCACGTTCTCCCAAAATCCATCCATGACAGCTGCTCGGGTGAATGCCAAGTTCTTCAGCCATAAAATAGCAAAATCTAGCAGAATCCAGATTACACCCACTTCCAATCACTTGGTGCTTGGGTAATACACTTAGTTTCCAGGTAACTTATGTAAGGGTGTCCACTGGGTTGGACACCACAATTATGATTTCTCTGCACCAGATTGGGACGACTCTCCCCCTCTTGCTGACGGACTTCCACAGTTACCACCACAATCTTAGAATTGACGGTCACAGAGTAATCTTTATCCACTACAATTTTAGGTGTCTGAAGAAATAAGCTCCCATGCTACAGATCCATCATTTCTCCTTTGAGCTTATCTTCCAAAACATCCACAAGAGCAAGTTCATCAGCCAGAGACTTTCCCAGAATGCTGATAGCACATGCCATGCCAACTTGTCCAACACCCACTACAGTGATCTTATTATTTGGGACCGTTGCTTCCTCTTCTGCAACTGGTGCAACGAGTTTTTCTTTAAGAGTTGCCATTGTGCACAGGAGGAGAGGGCTCTGCAGAGCGCTGAATAATAATCCTGAGAGGGAGATAATGTCTACTGCGTGCGTCTCCTCCAGCACAGGATCTGCAAGGCTAAACTGCTATTTTAATCCATAAATATTCAGTCTGAAGATTCCAAAAGTTTTTGGCATTAACATTCCTTTTAGTTTCACAAAACTGTCCTTTGCATGAGATTTACATAAGCTCTGGTGGTTAGAGACCTTTCTATGGGGAGCTTACTTTCCTATATGGTTCTGCTTCCTGTTCTCTTGCTTTAGAAAATAGGAAGGATTTGTCCCTTTGTGATGTATTTATAGATTATTAATCTCTATTGATATATAAGTTAAACTAAAAAGATTAAAGAATTCAGTTTTGGGCCGGCCCGGTGGCGCACTGGATAGTGCGCCGCTTGGGAAGCGCGGCGGCGCTCCCGCCCGAGGGTTCGGATCCCACATGCAGACCGGTTCCCGCTCACTGGCTGAGCGAGGCGGGGGAGCAGCGCCCAGGGTTGCAATCCCGTTGCCGGTCCCCGGTCTGGTACGGGGGCAACACTGAGGGTTGCGATCCGTTGCCGGACACGGAAAAAAACAAAAAAAAAAAAAAAAAAGAATTCAGTTTTTACCAATTTACAAACACTTTTCCTATCCTAAGGCTGCTTTTGTTTTTAAGGTCACGGGCCATTTTCTCATATGTTTGATGGAAGATTTATTCCACTTGCTCGCCCAGAGATCAAATGGAAGGTATGTATTCATATATTCAGTAGTCAAAAGAAAGACTATTCAGGCAGATAATTTAGTTAAATTATCTGTTTGGTTTCACTGCTGTGTTACAGTACATACTTCCTCATTACAGTTTTCAGGGTGCTTTCATTTGTGCATGTGCGTGTGTGTGTGTGTGTGTATATATATATATATTTTTTTTTTTTATTAGATACTCACAGTCATCTATAAGGAAGGAATCGTTATCTCCCTTTTTAACAAGTAAAGGAACTTGAAGCTCAGGGAGGTGTACTGATGTGCCAAAAATCACAAAGCAGCAATAGAAACCTAGCCAATTTCATGTTCTTTCTCCTCCATCACACTACTGTAAAATAAAAATAAAAGGCCAGCTCTGGTTTTGACTCATTTGATATGATCAGGAAACAACTGTTACCAGCCAGGTTTCATCATATATATTAAATGAACGACTTAATAATTAGGCATTTGCAGCTGGTTAACCAATATTTTTGGAATCAGTTTTTGAGAAGTAAAGTTAGGTTGGCCAACCAGTTTTTACTGCACTTTATTTCTGGAACGTGGAGTAGAAAAGGATATTAATATATATTGAAAGCTTCTTATATGTCAACTACTATTTTCTCTCTCTTTTCTTTCTTTATTTCATGAATAATTTATATACAATAAATTGTACAGGTCTTTTTTTTTTTTTTTCCTTTTTGTCTTTTTTCGTGTCCGGCAATGGATCGCAACCCTCAGTGTTGCGCCCGTACTGGACCGGGACCGGCAACGGGATCGCAACCCTCGGTGTTGCTCCCGCACCTCGCTCAGCCAGTGAGCGGGAACCGGTCTGTATGTGGGATCCGAACCCTCGGCGGGAGCGCCACTGCGCTCCCAAGCGGCGCACTGTAGCAGTGCGCCACCGGGCTGGCCCATACAGGTCTTAAGTGTACAGTTCAGTGAGTTTTGACAAGTATATACATTCATATAACCATTATGCAAGTCAAAATATAAAACATTTTCATCTTCCTGGAAAATTCCCTTGTGCCCCTTTTCAGGCATTTCCCACTCCTCCCCCCATCTTGACCTTCTGATTTTTAGAAACATGAATTAATTTTGTCTGTTCTTAGAGTTGATATAAATGGAATCATATAGTCAGTACTCATGTCTTGCTTCATTAACTCAATTTAGTGGTTTTGAGATTTGTTTGTGTTGCATACATTAGTAGCTGATCACTTTTTATTGCTGAGGGAGTATTCCAGTGTATAAATAAGTCAATTTATCCTTTCTCCTTTTGATGGAATTTGAGTTATTTTCAGCATTTTGCTGTTATGAATAAGATTGCTATGTACATTATTGTAAAAGATTTTTGTAGAAAATATGTTTTGACTTCTCTTAGGTAAATGCCTAAGAGTAGAATTGTTGGGTCGTATAGTAGACGCATGTTTAACTTTATAAGAAACTACCAATTTTCCTATGTGGTTGTAACATTTTATTCTCCCACCAGCAACATATGAGAGTTCCAGTGGCTCCACAGCCACACCAACACTTGGTCTTTCAGATTAGCCCTTCTAACGAGTGTCAGATAGTATTTGTGGTTTAATTTGCATTCTCTAATGTATGTTGAATACCATTTCTGTATTTTGTGCTTTGTTATTGATATATCTTTTGTGAAGAGCTCTTTCAACATTTCACCCATTTAAAAAATTTGTTTGCTCTTTTATTATTGATTTGTAGGAATCCTTTATATATATTGTTACATGTATGTTTTATGAATAGTCTTACCAGTGTCTGGCTTGCCAATTCATTTTTTAATGATGCCTTTTGAGAAATAAAAGTTATAAATGTTGTTGACTACTCTGGGTCTTCAAGACAGTGAAATGCATAGTTTCTCACCAGTTTTGCTGCCTTGGGGCCTGCCCTCAGGCTGAAAGCCATAAAACTGGAATATCGCCCATTACCTTTCTCTCCCAAGTGTTGACTTCATTTAACATCAGCTTGCTTTTGATCTTTCTCATCAGGGAGTTTTCCTGAGTTTATAGTTTTATACAGCAGCTTTGCTCTAATGGGATCTACTCAGCCATTACCAAGTCTTTTTCTTGAAATATTTTGCCTTTCACATTTAAATTCTTAGCTCATGTGTAACTTATTTTTTGTGTGTGTATGATAGAAATCTAATTATTTAAAAATATGGACAATTGTTTCTTGAGTAGCTCTTCCTTCCCCCACTGATCTATAATATCAACCCCAACATTTATTAACTTCCCATATATGATGAATCTTTCTGGATTCTATTCTTTTCTACACTTTCTTCATTATTTTTACTTTTAATAAGTTTTGATAGTTGGTAGGACAACTGTTCACACCTTGTTCTTTTATAGGAGTATCTTTGGCCCTTTACTCTTCCATTATGAATTTTATAATTTTCTCCATGAAAGTCTTACATATCTTTTGTTATATTTACTCTTGATTTTCTTATAATTTTAGTTATTATTGTCCATGCAATCTTTCTGAAACTTAAATTTTTCTCTTCACTAGTACATTCACAAATAGTTGGCTTTTATTTATTTGAAAGTACTATTTTGCTAAACCCTATTTATTCTAAAAACTTTGTAGATTCTTTTGAGTTTTTGATGTAGATCAGTCTCTGCATCTGCAAGAAGTAAGGTGTTTTTCTTCTTTTTCAACTCTTATACTTTTTATTTTACTTCTTTGCTTTTCCATGCTTCTTGTATCTCCAGGAAAGTGCTAAATAAAAGATATCACAGAAGTCAGCCTTACATTATTATTAATTTTAAGGGGAATGCTTTTTATACTATGGATTCAATTTTTTTAACATTTAATTTTGATATAATGTCACACAGAAAAATTTCAAAAATAGTACAAAGAATTCCTATAAATCTTTAATCTAGATTTTAAACATGCTCTCTCTCCATATATAATATTTTTCTGAGCCATTAGAAAGTAATTTGTAGGGCCCAGCCCGTGGCGCACTTGGGAGGGTGCAGCGCTGGGAGCGCGGTGGTGCTCCCGCCGCGGGTTCGGATCCTATGTAGGGATGACCGGTGCGCTCACAGCGCTCACTGGCTGAGCACGGTGCGGCCGGTCTCAAAAAGGACAAAAAAAAAAAGAAAGAAAGTAATTTGTAGATATAGCTTTTCGTTCCTAAATAGTTCAGTAGATATTTCCTAAGAACAATATTCTCCTACATACCTGCAGTACAATTATCAAAATCAGGAGATTAATATGGATGTGGTACTATTTTCTAATTCACAGACTTTCTTTCAAATTTCACCAATTGTCCCTATAGAAATGGGGGGAAAACCTTTTTTTCCCTGGTCCAAGATCCAGGATAATACATACATTTAGTTGCCATTTCTCTTTAAGTTTCTTTTCATATGGAATAATTCTTAAGCCTTTATTTTCATGACCTTGCCTGTTTTTTTAAAGAGCAGATGAGCTATTTTGTAGAATGCTCCTCAGTTTGAGTTTCAGTTTGTCTGATGTTTCCTCACAGATTCAGGCTATGCATTTTTGGCGGAATGTCACAGAAATGATGTATTCTTGTTGGTGTATCATATCAGCAGGCATATAAAATCTATTTGAGCCGTTACTGGTGATGCTAACATTGCTCACCTGGTTAAGATAGTGTCTGCCAAATTTCTCCACTATAAAGTTACTATTTTTCATTTTTATACTTACATGTACCTTGATTCAATTTTTAAAAATAGTTATAGGACCATTTAAGTTTTGTTTTTCGTTGTGAGTCAGTTTTTGTTAAGACCTGGGAGAGGGCAGATGTCTTCAAGTGTTTATTTGATCTTGACATTGATTGTGAATGAGTGAGCACAGACAGATGAGCAAACAGAGAGTGATTTGGGATTTCAACCCAGATCTTGACTTCTCTGATACACTTCTGTTTTTACTGGCAAGTTTGCAGTTATCCCTTTCAACCACTAGATGGAAGTACTAACAGAGCTTCTAACTACCCATAGTCTAAGGCTGATGAAAAAATAGAACTAAATTTTATACCAATATTTATTAAAATGGAATTCTATCTGTATGACCTGGTAATATTTTTTCATGTGCTGTAAATGGTTATATCTCATAAAATGCATTAAATATATTTATGAAATAATGAACATGGTTTATAAAAGGTAGACAAGTAAAATATTGACAAATTGGACAGGTTTTAAAATTTTTATTTATATTTATTTATTTTTAAAGATGACCGGTAAGGGGATCTTAACCCTTGACTTGGTGTTGTCAGCACCATGCTCACCCAGTCAGCTAACCGGCCATCCCTATGTAGGGTTCTGAACCCACGGCCTTGGTGTTATCAGCACCACACTCTCCCGAGTGAGCCACGGGCCAGCCCTTGACAGGTTTTTAAAAATGTCTGCAAAATTGTAGTTGGAAACTAGATAATTAACATGCAGTAGAAACTTATCTCAGAATTATCTGGAATCAAGAATAATTTTGATAATCATGGCCCCCAGTGGGCTGGAGTCTATAACACACTATATTGTACTGACTTTTCCTAGCATGAACAGGGCTCAATTAAGATGTTTGAGTACCTAGTTAATTCTAATGGACTCAGAGCTGTCATGGAGCGCTATGGTCTTATCCCTGAAGAAGATATTTGCTTTATCAAGGAACTAATTGCAGGACCACTTGATTCACACATCAAAGATTCTTCGGTAAGTCTGTAAACTTAATTTGAACTGATTGGTACTTTTCATCTAGTCTTTTCTTGATTCCATCAGAGGTACACATTTGTCTATTTTAGAGGCTAAACGATAAAATATGTTATATATTTCTACTGTTTAATGCAAAAAATTAAAAGCTTATATTTTTTCTCCCTCTTAACTGAATTCTTTAGAAGTTACTCCAAAATTAAAAATATATATAAATCCCTTTTTAATGACTATGTATGCAGTATTTTACATAGAAGCCTTAAAATAACTTTGGAAATATAAAAGTGTATGTCTTGTTTATCTGTTAAAATGAACATATCTGAAATACTTAGATATATGAAGGCTTAGAAAAAAGTGGAACCGGTTCACAGGGAAATGTTTTATTTCCTTTTTCATCTTTTGTATTTTTTAAATTAAATTGCAAAATAATTTTCCCCAGAGATTTTTAGGATTTTTACCTCAAATATATACAAAACTACTTGTAAGATGTAAGATTAAAAAAGGTGGGTTTTGCAACAAATATCCTATTTTCAAAAAATTGGAGCTCTAAAAATGCTTTGAACACTGCATATCATTTAGACTAGGTATATGTCTACTTTGAAGGATAGTACTGTTTTAATGCATGAATTCAAGCATTATCATTTAAGGAACATTCTTATTACTTTATAATTAGATCTTGACTTGTTAAAATAAGTGAACAGATATGATGTTGATGGGTGGGAGAGAGGAGAGGGAGTGGGGGAGGGAGGAATCGGTGAAGGGACACGAAAATCAGCTACATCGTATATTGATAAAATAAAATAAAATAATAAAAAAATTTAAAAACCATATAAAAAAATTTTTTTAATAAAATTTTTCTTAATGAGAAAAAAATAAAATGAAAATGAAAATTAGGTCTTGTTTTTTTTTTAAAAAAAAAAAAACAAAAACTTTTAAACCAGGAAAACCAGAAAGTTGTTAGTTATGGGAAGTGTTACAGAGTTAGGATCCTTTCAATGGCACAAGTAGGTTTAATATTAATAGGATATCCTGTGTTTTACCATTTATTTTTTCTTTCTACCAGTTTAGGAATCAAGTGTAAGAAGGAAAGAGTAGAACCTTCCATTTTATCTCATATTCCCAGTCACTTGTATCTGTTACCTGCAGATTAATACAATTGCTTTGCTTTGCTTTGCTTTGCTTATAAATAGATTTGGTGCCTATCCTAAAACTTTCAATGGATTTTTTTGTCTTCCAGTGGCCATATAAAGGACGTTCTACAGAGAAAAGCTTCCTTTATGAAATAGTGGCTAATAAAAGAAATGGCATTGATGTAGACAAATGGGATTATTTTGCCAGGTATGCACTGAACCCTTCAGAAAAGGTGGTATAATAATCCTTATGTAAAATTAGTGGTAGTATTTAAGGTACAGTTTCTGTGTTGAAAAATCTTCTCTCTCTGCTTTGGAATCTTTCTAGGGACTGCCATCATCTTGGAATCCAAAATAATTTTGATTATGACCGCTTTATTAAGTTTGCCCGTGTCTGTGAAGTAGATAATAGAAAGTATATTTGTACTAGAGAAAAGGTAAGCTATGTAGGGGAAATTAGAACAAGAGTGTAGTTCCTGGTCTGGAGTCTGGAATTAACCATTCAATAATTTGGAAAAATTGGTAAATTGTCAATCTCTTTACTTAATGCTTAGCATTTGTAAGTATCTTAAGGATCTCTTCACTTCCACTGCATTGTTAAATAATAATAAAATGAAAATCAACATTTATTGGATCTTGTGCTAGGCATTGTTTTAAAATACTGAAATCATTAGGTCCCTGCTAGATGACAGTCATGTAACTAAAGAGTATTATAGTATTGTACTATAGACAGTCTTTCTGTCAAGAACGAAGAACACAAGAACAATACCTATTTCCTAGAGTTATTGGGAGGATTAAAAGATATATTTAAGATGCCTAAAACAGAACCTGTCACAGAGTTAGAACACATAATAGATTTTAATTTACTAAGAATGAAAGTTGCAAACCAATAAATAGATTTACTAATCTGCCTCCCCATTTTTCAGTAGGCTCAGGAGTTTTAATGAAGTAGCCCCTGTACATGGTCTTTTTTGTCTGCCACCATCTCTTTTCCTTGTCTGATATACTTGTCTATTAACAAGGTTAACATAATCTGATTCACATTCATATTTATTCCGTGTTTTCCTGCAGGAAGTTGGAAATGTGTATGACATGTTCCACACACGCAACTGTTTACACCGTAGAGCTTATCAACACAAAGTTGGCAATATTGTTGATGCAATGTAAGAAATCTGATTGTTATTTCCTTATAAAATGTTCCATGATGCTTTGCTGGAGTATGATACTTGGGTCAAATTGAGACTTCTGGATAAATTCAAGTGAATTTTAAGTGAATAAATCTAAAATGGTTTTCATAAACAAATTAAACAAAATCTAGCATAAAGTAAACTTAGTTGAAGAAAGAGGAAGAAAATGGATAAAGGGGGTAGAGGAAGTGAAAAAGAACTGGCTTAGGCTAGACATGAAGAGGCAGTGCTGGAATGGCTCAGGACTTCTGTACAGGTAGGCACTAGTGTACCAGGTATTAGTCATCAAGATAATGGAAAGTAGAGCATGAATAAATTGATACTGAGATTAATGACAAAAATTAATTATAAGAAATAAGTTTAATGTCTGTCTTTATTCTGTCAAATATTTATCAAAATTAGTAGGAATAGTAAAACTGATAGGAATTTCACCTCTTTTTCTTGATCCAGTCAGAACCAAGCAGTCAAGTTTCTATGTGACTCAAAGACCCCATGAGGAGTTATCTAAAATTGGGTGTGAGTCAATTTAATTCCATATCTCTAAAATAGCTTTACATTGATTTATTATAAACTTCTTACATTCATTTTTGCATTTGTGTTGAGGAAATTTATCTTCATTTCTATTTTTTGCCTATCATTTGTCATGAGCAGACTAGTTAGAATACATTTACCTTTTTGTATGATTAATAAATTTGGTAAAAGTAGGTTTTGTTTTTTTTTTAATTCAGGGAGAATGATGTAGGTTCAAAGCCTGGTACTACTTCTTCCTAACTTGGTTAAGTGAAAATTACTTTATTTTTGCATCTGTAAAATTGGGCTGATTATGCATATTTTATTATTAGAAAGATTAAATAAGATAATGTATCTGAAGACTTGCAAAAGTGCCTGGAACACTGTAAGCATTGTGCTCACAGGTAACTGTGCACTTATTTAGTATGATCGAGAAACAGTTGTCTTTAGATTTTATGTACCTCAAGATTTTATTTCCCTAGTGTAGAAAGATTTCCTTAAATAAGACATAAAGAAATATTCAAAGTTTCTCATAAGCATAAATTTTTACAAAATGGTCTTTAGGATTACAGATGCTCTCCTCAAAGCAGACCCCTACATAGAGATTACAGGTGCTAAAGGAAAAAAGTATCACATTTCTACAGCAATTGATGACATGGAAGCCTTCACTAAATTGACAGGTAAGAACTAGAAGGTAACATAGATGATTCATCTCAGATAAAGTATAAACTGTCTCTGGATTGGCAATGGGTTATTTTCCAAACTTTTAAGTGTATTTTAGCTTCCTAAGTCATTATATATTTTTGGATTTGAGTTTTATCTTTGCCTTATACTAACAAGCTGACCTTGATAAAGTAATTTTACCTCTCAGAACCTTAGTTTCCTCATCTGTAAACTGGGGGTAATGATACCTAGCATATAGTTTTGTTGTGATACTTAAACGAGGCATATCACCTTGTATACACTTGGCATTTAAGTACTCAATATTCACTATTAATTTGTAATAAACCTGGACTAATACCAGACTAATACATAAAAACTGAGTTGCTCTTTTAACATTATTTTCATTGCAAAGCACAGGATGCCAGGAACATCTCTCCACACCTCTGCAGAAACAAAATCTTCAGCTTAAGGGAGGAAGGAAGGAAGAGAAGTGAAGGTGTGGCAGCTGGGTCTTTAGTGTGGGAAAGTGTAGACTGAGAAATAAAAATCAGTAAAGCAAAAGAAGCAGACCAAAAATTAATGTACCAGTCAGAGTTCTTAGTTGCAAATCATGAAACTCTTTTAACTAAAAATAAAATTAGAAAGCAATCACACAGCTTACAGAATCAGTGGAAAGGATGGAGGCTCTGAAAATGGGCAAAACAAGAGGCCAAGTGGCCTAAGCCACAGCTAAGTCAATCATTTTACAGAAGCTTCCTGCCCAATGAATGGCCTAGGGTACTGCTGTTCCATCGTTGCTGGGTTCCATTTGCAGCACACTGCCAGAATGAAATCTAAACCAGTTCTTCTCAAGCTATCTTTGAAGAACCAATTTTAAAATTTCCAACTCCTCACAGTTTGATACTTCTGTAAAATATTGTAAAAATGAATTACTAGAAAAATGAAGGGGGGAAGGATGTACAAGGCCAAATTTTTATTCAACCTGACAGATTTAACAGTACATTTCAATAGATATAATCAAGAAAAAATTTTAAGTTAAATTACAAAAGATATACATATTGTTCTTTAAAAATATACACATAGGGCTGGCCCCGTGGCTCACTCGGGAGAGTGTGGCGCTGGTGGTGCTGAGGCCGCAGGTTCGGATCCTATATAGGGATGGCCGGTGTGCTCACTGGCTGAGCATAGTGCAGACAACACCAGGCCGAGGGTTGTGATCCCCTTACCAGTCAAAAATATGTATATACATGTAGGCAATTAATATAGAGAATCCCTATTACATGTGGGGGTTTTTGCTTTTTTGTGGTTTTTTAATTCTTTTTTTGAGAATCTCTATTACACTTTTAATTTTTTAGTCATTTTCCAAACAGAACTAAGCCAAAACTTAGAAGTGAAATAGTGATTCCTCATATTAAATGTCTTTGTGCATACTGAGGACACTGTGTATATCAATATTTAAGGTTTATAATATGACACCTGAGTTTGCCTCTTGCTTGTTAATTTATCTAATGTAGGTTAGACTGATAACAAAGTTACTTGCAGGGTATAATATATGTCTAAATTGTTTCTGTGTTTTGTTTTAATAACATCATAGTAGGTAAACTAGCCTCCCATCATTATATTGATAAGAAAGGAAAAAGATTGGGCCGGCCCGGTGGCGCACTGGATAAGTGCGCCGCTTGGGAAGCGCAGCGGCACTCCCGCCCGAGGGTTCGGATCCCACATACAGACCGGTTCCCGCTCACTGGCTGAGCGAGGCGCGGGGGCAACGCCGAGGGTTGCGATCCCGTTGCCGGTCCCCGGTCAGGTACGGGGGCAACACTGAGGGTTGCGATCTGTTGCCGGACACGGAAAAGGACAAAAGACAAAAAAAAAAGAAAGGAAAAAGATTTTAAAACAATTTGAGCATTAACCTGGCCCCATCTCTGTACCCTGATTTTAGGGTCCTCTCTAATTTCTCAGCCTGGGCTATGTCATTTGTGCCCACATAGTACAGATCCAGGTTCCAGATTGTTTTCCTTGTCATGAAGGCTCTGTTCACAGTAGTGTGTTGGGAATGAAGCTAGTTAGCAATATTAGTCTTCTCTGTATAAAATCTTACCTTGATATGCTTGATCTAAATTGGCATGTCTTATATCACCTCTGTAAGTCTTACCAAATGTGTTTAGTGTTCTAAAGAAATCAGTGTTTCTATAGTACTTAACATAGGTTTATTACACTTTTATAATGAAAGTTCAAAATTATGTTTACCTTGTTCTTCATTAGTACATCAAACATTTTTAAATGGTAGCATACTACGTTCCTCTTCCTGTTGTTGTTTATTTTAAGGGCAGTTTCTGGGTAGATAAGCTCTGGCTTTTTTTTTTTTTTTTGTCTTTTTTCGTGTCCGGCAACGGATCACAACCCTCAGTGTTGCGCCCGTACCGGACCGGGACCGGCAGCGGGATTGCAACCCTCGGTGTTGCTCCCACACCTCACTCAGCCAGTGAGCGGGAACCGGTCTGTATGTGGGATCCAAACCCTCGGCGGGAGCGCCACTGCGCTCCCAAGCGGCACACTGTAGCAGTGCGCCACCGGGCCGGCCCGCTCTGGCTTATTTTAAAATACACTCTACAGTGTATTTTTCCTGGACTTGAACTGAAGAGAAAACATCGTCTCTGTTATTTCAGGTACCTTAGTGATCAATTTAGAAGATATGAGGATTTCATAAGTAAATAAGTAAATAAAACAATCTGAGCAAACTCGGGATATTTATTTGTAATTTTTATTCATAATTAAGCAAGTGATGCTGTATTTTATCTTTTTTTTTTTTCGTGACCGGCAACGGATCGCAACCCTCAGTGTCGCGCCTGTACCGGACTGGGACCAGCAACGGGATCGCAACCCTCGGTGTTGCCCCCGCTCCTCACTCAGCCAGTGAGTGGCCGGTCTGTATGTGGGATCCGAACCCTCGGCAGGAGCACCGCCGCGCTTCCCAAGTGGCGCACTGTAGCAGTGCGCCACCAGGCCAGCCCATGATGCTGTATTTTAAAAAGTCATCTTCAGGGCTGGCCCCGTGGCTCACTCGGGAGAGTGCGGTGCTGACAACACCAAGGCCACGGGTTCGGATCCTATATAGGGATGGCCGGTTTGCTCACTGGGTGAGCGTGGTGCTGACAACACCAAGTCAAGGGTTAAGATCCCCTTACCGGTCATCTTTAAAAAAAAAAAAAAAAAAGTCACCTCAATCCTTCATCAGAAGAAGCTAGTTCTAACAATTTATTCTGCAAAGTTATATTGACATTTAAACTATCTTACAGTGAAAGACATGAATTTTGGATTTTTTACACTTTTGGGTTAACTAACAAACTAACATTTAATGTGGTCCTATCGTGCGTAACTGTACACATCTCTTGCTCACCACAAAGGTTCCAAAACACCCAAACAGGCTTTTACCCTGTCCAGTGAGATGAGTCCACTAATACTTGGATACTGTAGTAATGTCAGACTCCTATAGAGGTTTCTCAGCACTTACCATCAATTGCCTTATTTACCTCTCTAGGGCACTCAATTTGTGGACAAGCACTAATCTTCAGATTCCACTTTGAATAGCACTGATCTAAACTTTCCTTGCCTCTTTTCATCATTTGCTCTAGAAACGAAAATCTCTGACAAGATAGTAGGTCACATTTTTGTGCTTTATCTGCCAGAGTATGGGAGAGCAAGCATACAGTCTTTACAGCTTACATGCTTTGAGACAGGGATAATATTCTTTCTTATGTATTATTCTGAGCAATCACGTAATCCTTATTTTTCTTAACTACATGACCTTGAAAGAATAGGAACATGAGGGCCCTCAATACCTTTGCTTCTTTTCCAGTAGTCAACTCACCTTGTCTTTGTTTAAAAATCTTCACTTTTCTTTTGTTTTTTTTTTTTAATGTTTTTCCTCATCTTATTGAGAAGCATTGAAAACAAACAGGGGTGTTGAAAGAATTTTACAGTGAACACCTATATACATACCACCTAAATTCTAACATTTACTGAACTTGCTTTATTACATATCTGTCACTTACTGTCCCCCATCAATTTGGTAATCCATCTCATTTTTGATACCTTTCAAATTAAATTGCAGATATCAGTACACTTTACCCTGAATCCGTCAGCATGCATATTAACCTAGAGTTCAATAATAGTTTTTATTTTAATTGATCTTTTCTTTTGATATAAAATTTGCATATAATTTATACAAATATACAAATCTTAACTGTACATTTGCTAGCACAATTTGTACAAATGTACAAATCCTAACTGTACATTTGCTAGCATTTTGACAAATGCAAGACATAGAACATTATCTTCCCCTCAGAAAGTTCCCTCATGCCTCTTCCCAATCAGAAGTAACCACTGTTTGCCTATTGTAGACTTTTGTATAAATGGAGTCATGCACTGTGAACCCTTCTATGTAAGGCTTCTTTTTACTCAGCATTGTGTTTTTGAGAGTCATCCAAGTTGCATGTATCAGTAGGTCATTATTTTTTGCAGGTATAGTGATCTGAACCCATGACCTTGGTGTTAAAAGGCTGTGCTCTAACCAACTGAGCTGACCAGACAGCCCTTATTACTTTTTATTGCTAAGTTGTAGTCCATCATGTGAATGCCACAGTTTATCTGTTCTCTGCTTCCTAAATTCCTGCTTTTGCTAAATGTTACAGGTCATCTGGATGTACCTGTCTTAAGCATTGCAAATGTTATGACCACTGGTTTAGGTAACCAGTTTCTTACCTTACTCTTTATCCCTCAATATTCCTAAGCAATAGATGGACTTTACTCCTCCCATCCTCTCCTCTGCAAGCCACCCACACCAAAATGCCTTAATTAAATTTGAATCACAGAATGTTAAATTTAAAAGGATCTTAGAGATTATCTACTTCAAACTCCTCAAATAAAAAAAACAAGCCAAATGAAGGAAAACAACTTATACTAATAAATGGCAAAGCTAAATTCAAACCAAATATTCAGACTCCCAGATTGAATGCTGTTTAAACTATTTGCTATTTCAGAGTGAAATATTTGCTATCAGAGTGATATTTTAGCTTTTAAATTTGATAGACAAGCAATTTCCTCTACCTTTGTACACAATTCTTTTCTGAAAACATGTATGTGGAACAAATAGAACTCTCATACATGGCTGGTGGGAATATAAATGGTACAGCCACTTTGGAAAATAGTCAGGCATTTTTTCTTATAAAGCAGTCATATACTTATCCTATGACTCTCTTCTACGTACTTACCCACCACAAATGTAAATGTAAATCCACCCAGAAACTCTGACTTGGTAGAATGAGATGAAAGGCATAAGAACCATATCAGTAGAGTTCTATGTGGTTCAAAGGAAGGAAGAATTCACCTCTCTGATTTGGATGGGTTAGGAAAGACTTCACAGGAAGGTGCCTTCTGAGATGAACTTCATGGATTAGGTAAGAAGTGAGATTCTGTGATGGGGGGAAGCATTCTATCAATTCAGCCAGGAATAGGGCAGATAAAGACATAGATTAGAAAACTGCGGTCTTATTACTTTAACATAAAATCGTTCTGTTTTTCAAACTGTGAGTATATTATGTGAAGAAAACTGAAGATGGAAAGATAGTTTACAGAAAGCATCATTAAGAGTGAAGAATGTGTTGGGCCGGCCCCGTAGCACACTCAGGAGGGTGTAGCGCTGGGAGCTCAGCGTCGCTCCCGCTGCGGGTTCGGATCCTATATAGGAATGGCCGGTGCGCTCACTGGCTGAGCGCGGTGCAGGCAACACCACACCAAGGGTTGCGATCCCCTTACCGGTCACAGAAAAGACAAAAAAAAAAAAAAAAGAGTGAAGAATTTGTTAACCACAGATCATATATGGAGGAATATAGTCACATGTTGCTTAGCAACAGTGAAATGTTCTAAGAAATATGTCATCATGATTTCATCATTGTGCAATGATAGATGTACTTACACAAACCTAGAGGGTATAGTCTACTAGACACCTAGGCTATATGGTATGGCCTATTGACCCTAGGCTACAAACCTGTGTAGTATGTTACTGTACTGAATATTGTAGGCAATTGTAACACAGTGGTATTTGAATATCTAAACATTTGTAAACATACAACAGGTACAGTAAAAATACAGTAAAAAAGATAAAAGATGGCACACCTATATAGAGCACTTATCATGAATGGTGCTTGCACAACTGGAAGTTGCTCTGGGAGAGCCAGTGAGTAGTGAGTAAATGTGAGGGCCTAGGACATTATTGTACACTACTGCAGACTTTATAAACAGTGTACACTTTTGCTACATGAAATTCATAAAGTATTTTTCTTCAATTATAAATTAACCTTAGCTTACTATAACTTTTTTACTTTATAAACTTTTTTTTTTTTTTTTTTTTTTTGGTCTTTTGTCTTTTTCCGTGTCCGGCAACGGATTGCAACCCTCAGTGTTGCCCCCGTACCGGACCGGGGACCGGCAACGGGATCACAACCCTCGGTGTTGCTCCCACACCTCACTCAGCCAGTGAGCGGGAACCAGTCTGTATGTGGGATCTGAACCCTCGGCGGGAGCGCCACCATGCTCCCAAGCGGCGCACTATCCAGTGCGCCACCGGGCCGGCCCATAAACTTTTTAATTTTTTCTAACTTTTTGACTCTTTTGTAATAACACTTAGCTTAAAACACAAACATGTTATACATTTGTACAAAAATATTTTCCTTATATCCTTGTTCTATATAAAGCTTGTTTCTATTTTTAAAATTATTTATTTTTTTACTTAATTTTTTTTTGTTAAGAACTAAGACACGAACACACACATTAGCCTATGCCTATACAAAGTCAAGATCATCAATATAGCTGTCTTCGACCTCCACCTCTGATCCTACTAGAAGGTCCTCAGGGGCAATAACATGCATGGAGCTGTCATCTCCTATGATAACAATGCTTTCTTCTGGAATAATTCCTGAAGGATCTGCCTTAGGCTGTTTTACAGTTAACCTTTTTTTAGTAAGTAGAAGGAGTACACTCTAAAATAATGATAAAAAGTGCAGTATAGTAAATACATAAACCAGTAACAGTGGTGCATTATCATTACCAAATATTATATACTACACATAATTGTATTTGCTATACAGTACTCTTACATGACTGGCAGTGCAGTAGGTTTGTTTACACCAGCATCACCACAAACGGTAACATGTTGCACTATGACATGATAGCTACAGTGTCACTAGGCAATAGGAATTTTTCAGCTCCATTGTAATCTTATGGGACCACTGTTGTGTATGTAGTCCATCATTGACCAAAACGTTACGTGACATATAACTATATATATACATATTTGTGGTACAAATAACATAAGGCAGCTAATATTTTATTTTGCCAGGAAAAAGGTATTTTGATAAAATTCATTTTACAAAATGTAAGAGTTGATTAAGGCAAGAATCATCAATGAATGCTAAACCACTGGGTGAAAGCTTATTGGAATAACCCTACAGCCTCAGAGTATCACCCTACAGATTGTTAATTACAGAGGGGAAAAATGCATTTATAATAGAGAAATCTGGGGATTATTGTCTTAACCAATTGATCAAATTTAATATAACCAACAATGGTAGCAAAGTATATTATGTGACTCCTGATGTGATGAACGGAGAAGGGCACATCCATTACACAGCATTTTTGACAAAAGTGTTTAACCTGAATCTAATGGTGAGGAAACAATCAGACAAGTTCAAAGTGTGGGACATTTTACAAAACAACTGCCTGAACTTTTCTAAAATGTCAACATCATGAAGACAAAAAGGGGAATTATTCCATTTCTAGATTAAGAAATATTAAAAAACTAATATTCATATACTTGATTGGTTTTCTACCCAATAACAAAAGTCCCTGAGTTATGTTATTAGGATAGTTAAGCAAATTTGAATACAGACTATATGTTAGGTAATATTTCTTATCATGTTTAAATTTCTTGGTGTGATTGTGGATATCCAGGAAAACATTCTTCTTGGAAAATACAGGCTGACGTATTTAGGGGTCAAGGGTCTTGATGTCTGCAGTTTTCAAATATTTCATCAAAAATGTGCACATAGATACATATGGAGACAGTGCATATGTAGAAAAATGGTAACATTGTGAAGGGGTGTTTTTTTTTAATTTTTCACAATAAAAAATTGGAGGAAAACAAAAGAAGAAAAGAAGGAAGAAAATTCCTTTTACTGTCATTGTGGGATGGAATGTTAAAGAACTTTTTATTGAGGAAATTTACAAAATCTCATGTACCCATCACTTAGCTTCAACAGTTATCAACACAAAGCAATTTTGCTTCGTCTGCCTTATTTACCCACTCCTGTCAAACACTGGGCTATTTTGAAGCAGATCCTAGACATAATTTTGTTCGTAAATACTTAAGGATCATTCTGTTTTCAAAACAAAACAACAATAAATACATCTCTACATACCCATCACCCAGCTCAACAGTTATCAACTCCAGTGCTGTCTTATTTTATCTCTGTCTTTCCCCACTCATTGGATTACCTTGAAGTAAACCAAGACATTGACTGGAACATTCATTCATTCATTCACTTATTTATTTATTTATTTATATTTATTTATTTAGGCATCTGGTGTGTACAGGTATCCAAAACCTTGACTTTGGTGTTTTAACACCGCACTCTAACCAAGTGCGCTAACTGGCCAGACCCAACTGGAACTTTTTTTTTTTTTCCTTTTTGTCTTTTTTCGTGACCGGTAACGGGATCGCAACCCTCAGTGTCGCGCCCGCACCATGCTCAGCCAGTGAGTGGACTGGTCTCTATATGGGATCCAAACCCTTGGCGGGAGCGCCACCACACTCCCAAGCGCCGCACTCTACTGAGTGCGCCACCAGGCCAGTCCCAACTGGAACATTTTTAAAATGATTTTTCACCTTAGTCTTTAAAAAAATTTTTTTCTCACATTGCTAAAATTATAATGTGCCTACATTTGTGAAATGCTTCTTGAAATGATTTCGGGAGTACAGTAGTATATAAGTCTAAATTTTGTGTTTTCATTGTAATATAACAGAAATTTTATCAAATTGGCAGATAACGTTTTTCTGGAGATTTTATACTCTACTAATCCAAAATTGGATGCAGCTCGAGAGATTTTAAAAAAGATTGAATACCGTAATCTATACAAGTATGTGGGTGAAGTCCAGTCAACAGGACAAACAAAGATTGGAGAGGTGAGTTGAATTACCAGGCATCTCTCTGGTAGTGAAAGGTTATCAGTCTCTGTCCTCCAAGAGGAAACCATTAACTCATCACAGTACCACAACTCTGTACATTTATTCTCATTTAATCTTCATAGCAATGCAGTATTCTTAGGCCTGTTTTACAGATGGGGAAACTGAGGCTTGGGTGAGATTAAGTAACTTGCTCATGGAAGCACAGTTGCTTTCTCATCCAGGAAGTAAGAGGATGCCTCAAATTTTGACTAGATCCACGCATGGAAAAGTGAATGTAAGGGTGTCCCACCCGTGGCTCACTCGGGAGAAGGTGGTGCTGATAACACCAAGGCCATGGGTTTGGATCCCTATATAGGGATGGTCAGTCACTGGGTGAGCGTGGTGCTGACAACACCAAGTCAAGGGTTAAGATCCCCTTACCAGTCATATTTTAAAAAAAAAAAAGAAAAATGGGGCCGGCCTGTGGCTCACTCGGGAGAGTGCGGTGCTGATAACACCAAGGCCCCGGGTTCGGATCCCGTATAGGGATGGCCAGTTGGCTCTCTGGCTGAGCATGGTGCTGACAACACCAAGTCAAGGGTTAAGATCCCCTTACCGGTCATCTTTAAAAAAAAAAAAAAAAAAAAAAATGAATATAAGGGAAAGGGGCCTCAAAATAAGGTACCTGCATGAGTTTCATTGAGACTCTGATGACCTGTTTTAACTACTTCTTTCCTTCACAGTTTATCAGGTTCTCCCAGAAGGCACGTGCCTGTCTTCTTTTGTTCAAATCTCTCTCTTTTTTTTTTTTTTTTTGGCAGCTGGCCAATATGGGGATTTGAACCCTTGACCTTGGTGTTATAACATTGTGCTCCAATCAACTGTGGTAACCAGCTAGTCTTCAAATATCTATTTTGCTCTCCGTTTGTTGAAGGTTTTTCTCTTTGCCAGAAAGTCATAACATGAGTCATACTGATAATCATCACACCCTACCTCATAATAATTTCTTGGGTTATACTTTACTTCCTGTTGCTTAACTAATAGGTGAATGCCACATTTTTTTTCAAAATGTGAAAATTTTGTTATGAAATTTGCTCTATTTGTTTAAAGGATGGCATAGGTAGGGGTATCTCTAAGCATTTTTTTTAGTCAAGTACCATTTTCAAAGAGGGAACCTGTCTGTGGCAGAAACACTTAATATGAAAAACCAGGGTTCTAACATGGGAAGTCTTGTCTTTTCCAGGATGACTATGAATGCCTTCCAAAAGAAGTTGCTGATGCTAAATCAGACACTGAACTGAAGGCAGAAGATTTCATAGTGGATGTAAGTAGTTAGCCCAATAATATACTAAGTGAAGAATTTTGTTTGATTGGTTTTGTTTTTGTGTTGGTGACTAGCTGGTACGGGATCTGAACCTTGGTGTTACAACACTGCACTCTAACCAGTAAGTGAAGAATTTTTTAAAATTAAGAACCACCCTCTGCTCTTTACAAAAGTCGTACATATTCATTATAAAAACTTGGAAAATACAGAAAAATAGAAGGAAGGAAGAAAATCACCTGTGGTGTCATAGAGCCAACATTATAAACAAGTTGTTAAGTTTTCTTTGTGATGTTTTGCCAATATTTTTAATATAATTGTGGTCATGTGATTGATAGAACATTGTATATAAATTGATTTAAATCTTTTTTGATCAGAAAAGTAATATATGCCAGTTATTTTTTTTAAGTTGCCTACATACACCCACAAAGGAAAAAATTAAAATTTATTGGCACCTGTTTTCATAGAGGGCACAGTGCCTTCTTGTATCCCAATGAGAATGCCAGATGGCTTTCTCACATTTTCTTGTTTCCTGTAGGAAATTCTTTTCAGAGTTCTACTCCTCTGAAATCTCAGGACAGCATTCCCCTTGTGTTTTCCCATAAGCCTCTTCCCATTTGTTATTTCTTGTTAACGAATCCTTGAATGACCGGTGATCTCTCCATAAACATTCTTTGCAAGAGAATACGAGTGAATTGCCTTTGGACCCACTATCTATGCACTTGGCTGGTATTGAAGTGCCTCAGATGTTCAGATCAAGCTGCAGTTTCCTGTTTCATTAGATGAGGTTCCACTAGAATAAAGGGATCTCATATCTTGAGTTCCTGAGACTCTGAAAGACTTCACTCCCCAGAATGTTTTCCGTAGGCATGTTTGCCCTCAGCCTTACTGCTTTACTGGGGGGACTGTCTTGTCCTCCAGGCAGTTCTCAATCCCAGTCAATCCCTCAAAACCCCATCTGGTTTTCATCTCAAAGTGCAGTCTCCAAATGGAGTAGGATCAGAGGTACTCGAAGAGGCCGTGCATAGGAGAAGACATACACGTGGCTTAGTAGTCATGAAAAGAGGTTTAACCTTACCAATAACCAAATAAAGGCAAATTGATGCAGCAGTGAACTTTTTTTTTTTTTGACTCTCAGACTTGTAAGAACAAAAAGTGTGTCAAAATAGTTAATAATGGGTATATTAAAAGGGAAGTGTAAATTGGTGCAAGAGACCAAATTAGAAGTGTGCTCTAAAATTTTAATTGATGGGCTGACCCCGTGGCGCACTCGGGAGGGTGCAGCGCTGGGAGCGCAGTAGCACTCCCGCCACGGGTTCGGATCCTATATAGGGATGGCCGGTGCGCTCACTGGCTGAGCGCGACGCGGCCGGTCACCAAAAAGACAAAATAAAATAAAAATAAAATTTTAATTGATCCAGCAATGGCCGGTGCGCTCACTGGCTGAGCGCGATGCGGCCTGTCACCAAAAAGACAAAATAGAATAAAATAAAATAAAAATAAAATTTTAATTGATCCAGCAATTTTCAAATTTTCATTTGAGGAATTTGTCCTAAGGACGTAATCAATTTTCCAAAAAAATATATTTTATTGTGGTATTATCGTAGTGTAAAATTAGGGGAAAATTCTATATGCCTGTCAGTAGGAAATACTGTGGAATAATACATTAAAAATTGTTTTTAACATGGAAAGATTTCTATAATTTGTTTCCTTAAATGAATATATTTACATGTGCATGTGCAATGAACACATTAAAAACATTTTGGATATATTAGTGGTAAAATGTTAACATTGTTTCTACCTGAGTGGTAGAATTGCAGGTGATTTTTTTTTTTTTTTTTGTGACCATGGTAAAAGAATTTCATAATCAGAAAAAAATTTTTTCAATTTAGAATGGGAAAAGCCCTTCTATAGTCTGAGAAAGCAAGTAAAATTGCTAATTAAATGTCTTAAGTCTTAGCATCTCAGTTTTAGTTTAACAGTAGAATATATTTATATGGTTCGTTTTCCCATGTATGATTCCTTTTAGGACTGTGCGTAGTAAGTTTTACATCTGTTTACATGTGGCTGTTGAGCACTTGAAATATGGCTACTGCAACTGAGGAACTAAGTTTCTTATTATATTTAATGTTAATTACTTTAAGTTTAAAAAGTCACATGTGGCTGATGGCCACCACATTGGGCAATGCAGCAGTAGAACTCATTCTGCCCTCATCACTTCTGTGTAAGCTTACAGTGTCAGTTCTCTACTCCCTCAGCAGTTACACAGATTTTCGTCTTAAGAAAATCACAAACACCACAATTCTCTTAACCCCACTCTTCTTCTTCCGGATCAAACTCATCTCCCCTTACCTTTCTGAGGTACCATATTTCTCTCCATGTACTTCTCGCTTGCCTCTTCTGAACAACAAAACTTCTAAGAGTTGTCTTCTCTCGTATTTCTCATTTACTCCTGAACTTTTTTCTGTCACCATCATCATAATAAAACTATAATCATGTGCTGCATAACGATGTTTCTCAGCCAGTGACGGACCACAGGTACAACAGTGGTCGCACAAGATTATAATGGCTATACCGTATAGCCTAGGTGTGTAGTAGGTTGTACCATCTAGGTTTGTGTGAAGTGCACTCTATGACGTTCGCACAACAACGAAATCACCTAATGATGAATTTCTCAAACATATCCCTGTCTCCTGTCTCCGAGATCACCAGAGACTTCAGTGTTGCTGAATCCAGCACATGATTTCAGTCCCCTCTACTTTCGAGCTGTTTCTCCTGCCAGGAATTCTTTTCCTTCCTACCTAGTCCTAGTTAATTCCTGCTTACTTAGTAAAGTCACTTTCCCAGGAAAATATTTCCAGTTATCCCCCAGCACCCCAGGCTACATTAGGTCCCCTGTTAGAAAGTTTCAAAGTGTTATAGGCATCGGGAGAAAATCACCCTTGGAGACTGATATAAAAAAGAGAAAAAGATTTTTATTTCCAGCATCTGTGACCGCACTAGCTAATTCAAGGTGTGGCCCCGAACCGTCTTTGTTCTCGGTTTTTAAAGCTGCAAGCTCGGCAACTCGGTCGCCCGATCACCGTGCCAAGAGGTATTAGCCAATGCAAGCAAGCCAATAGTACATGAGCTAATTTTGCAGTTAGCAGAGCTCCTCCCGTCCCACCCCCACTTTCCCGCCTAACTTTCACACAATGGAGGGGCTATCTTAAGTGGCGTCAGTCCTGCTCTTAGAAAAGAGGGCATTACTTCATTCCCCACTGGTTTTTTTTTTTTTTTTCCTTTTTTTGTCTATTTTCATGACCGGCAAGGATCGCAACCCTCAGTGTCGCGCCCGTACCGGCCCGGGACCGGCAACGGGATCGCAACCCTCGGTGCTGCTCCCTGCACCTCGCTCAGCCAGTGAGCAGGAACCGGTCTGTATGTGGGATCCGAACCCTCGGCGGGAGCGCCGCCACACTTCCCAAGCGGCGCACTGTAGCAGTGCGCCACCAGGCCTGCCCCCCAACTGGTTTTAAGGGGATTTTTTTAAGCAAATCTTTGCTTAAGGGTCAATATCTGGTCCCCAATTTATGTGTTCCCAATCTTTTAGTGGGATTTGATCATATTGGGAACGGAGAACCAGTAATTTGACCTCTTGCATGCAGGACTGAATCAAATTGAGGAGTTTGTTGAAAAGGCATGGTCCCAAGGTTATTAGCAAGAGGAGAATTATTAGTGGTCCCATAAGGCTAGAAATAAAGTTGTTAGCCATGGAGAAAAGTTAAACCAGGATTCAAACCAGTTAGAGGACTGTTCTGGTTCTAAGTCCTGTTGCCTGATGCATTCTCTTAACCTTTTCATGGAGTCTTCAACGACTCCAGTATGATCTGTATATACACAGCACTTTTCCTTTAATGCCAAACAGAGTCCCCCTTGTTGTAGAAAGAGGAGGTCAAGTCCTCTACAGTTTTGGAGGACTACCTCGGAAAGGGAAGACAAGAAAGTTTTGAGGAGGGTTATAGAATTTTCGAGCTCATAATCATTAGTTTTTATATATAGGCTTTGTTTTTGCACACGACCAAGCGTAAGTTTGGGCTTTCATCCCCATGGGCAGAGTCTGTCTTTGGTGATTTCAGTCAGATTCAGAGACCTAACAGTTTGGTTCACAGGCCTAGCCTTATTGTTTCATTCCCCCCTGAGAGATTATATCCTCCTTATTCTTAAGGTAAAAGGGGCTGGAGGTCTCTTTCTTCTGAAACTGCTTCCTGCGGACCATGGGCGTCGTCCCTGCCTGCATTTTGGAGGTATAAAATCTCTCATTGGCTGATTTAGTGATTTATAGAGACTTAGTTCCTCTCAGGAAAGGTTGGGTTGGAATCCTTGGGTCATCACCGTCTTGACGTGGAACTGTAGCCTGGAAGATACACACTTTACAAACAGATTAAAAGCACAGAGCTAGAATCGGATAACAGGTGTGTTAGTGTTTCTTTTTGAAAAATAATTTTTTCTCCAAGTTTTTCAAATTTATCAAAGGTATCTATGACAAGACAAATTTATTTGCAAAAATAAGTTTAGTTTTTGGCCAGATTATTTGCATAAAGTGCAGCAAGAGTAATGGCTTATCATATAAGCTCTCTCTCTTTTTTTTTTTGAGTTGGCTTTGCTGGGACATTCATAAGGAATCTCAGATTAGACCTTTAAATGCCACTCGGGTCTTAGGAAGCCAAGCCAAGGATTTGACTTACTCTCTGATTACCTGTGTGAGTTGGGTGAATTCCTCTCTTCTGGAAGTCCCCAAAATATCAAGTTTCTGGCCTGTCAGAAAGTTACATTCTTTACTTACTGGAAGACCAGGAACCTTATAATTATGTAGACAAAGTATCAGGCCAGTCTCTCCAAGGGGCTTTTTATTGGCTCCATAAAAGGGTCAACCTTAATTCCTTAAGGCAGTCTGGTCATGTCTGAAGGTATGATATTCCAGTCAAACCCTTGGTAAAATAACCAGTGTTTCCAATTGTGTC